GACTACTTTACTGAGATTTTTACTGCCAGATTTTTTTAACGTCAGTTCTGTCAAGGTTCTCTGTTTATTTTTTTTTCTTTCCTTCAATCCTAACAAGTGCTTTGGTACCATTCACATCTCTTAACGTCTCAAAATAGTCTCCACATCCCGTCCACCATTACAAAATATACTGCAAAATATACTGACGATAAGATGAATAACTCCAAGGCAATGCATTGCAAAGAAAATTCGATTTCTCATATAATACGACATAAGATGCGGGTGAATATGGAGGTAAGATCCCAGAATTGAACGGAAAACATGCTTCTTAAATGCAGGGAATGGATTATTCCGTCTTTTCCAAATGTGCAACAATACAGGTTACACGAAATATGGATAAAGTAAAATAATGCACAATAATGCATACTTTCTCGGCGTTTCTCTGCACTTCGATCGACGAGGGACTTGGGGTTTCGCATTTTTTTTAATCGAGTAAGACGTATAAGATGGAAATAAACATCGAAGCCAATGGTTTGACTCTTTCAGAGCAATGGACAGTATAAATAGGGCCAATGTGTGAGATTGTGAGACCTCTGGTGTGTTATCAGCCGATCAAACCAAAAGGCGCCATCCTTACTTTACTGACTATTGTACAATAAACCTGTGGGCACTTCAGGGGACGGGAAATTGTGTATTTATCCCGCAAAACAATTGCCCTCATTTGCCTGAGCAGCTTCGGAATAGTCGATTCTGATGTTATTATTATTCGATTATCAACGACCCCATCTTTCGGGGAAATCTTTGGGTCTCCCTAAGCCCCGAATTGGACGCTCAGAAGTCGAGGCTTTTTAGTCAAAGCAAATTGGTCACTGAGCGACCCCGGGGTGTAGGTGTTATAGACCCGTCTCTTAGCCACACGGGTTTTAAAATAAATTACGCATCCATTTGGGAATTCGGTTACCAGACTCCAGGAGTTGAATGTTTGTGAATTAGCCCCGACTCCACAATACAAATGATACCGTCAGCCTGAATCGAAGGTATTGTGTTATTAATAGCTTTGTTCATTTGCAGTGTGAAGGTAAACATATAGTATACACGACACACACATATATATATGTATATATAGTTTACATGTTCTACATATATATGTGTGTGTATAAGAATATACGCGTGAGTATATATACACAACATATATATATAGAACATATATATATTATACACGATTGGAGGACATCAATTTTAGTTAACAAAGGAGCAAATGGGGAGGTTAGAAGAATATTTTTTCCAGCCACACAGTAGTTAGGATATGGAGGGGTGGGTGAATCAGATCCATATTAAAGGAGAGCTGGATAAATGTCTTAAGAAGCAGTCAACTACAACTACAGGGGTATGGGGGGGTGGGTGGGGGTGGAAAGGGCAGATAAATGGGACTGAAAGGCTTGCTTTTAAAAGAGCCAACACAGACACGGCCAATTGGGCTTCTTCTGTGCTGTACATTTCTATGGTTCTATCTATGCACAGGGTGACCAAAAAGTCTTATATTTTCAGCTACCCTATTAACCTAAAAAAAATCACCATTTCTTTAAGACGTGTGTGACATTGTAATGGTATCACGAGTTTTTAGTCATCCTGTACTATAATATATATATATACATAGATATATAACATCCATAATATATATATATATGAAGAGAATGCGTCACTTATGTTCGAAGGTTGTACGTATCTCCTTGTAATGAACCAGACACCTGAATAGACAGCAAACCTTTGTCCGTTGGGTGTCTGTGAAAGATTGTATTAATCTCGCTTTGCAGTTCAGCAACAATCGTTGGCATTCCTGCGTGGGGTGTGCGGTGCGGTGCGGTGCGGTGCGGTGAGCAGTGCCGTGCAGTAGGGAAACAGCAGTGGCGCTTCTCTTGTGGAAGCGATAATAATACCAACAGCCGGTGGCTGACCTTCGAGCAAGTTTGTTGGAAGCAGTGGAGGTGCTGTTTGGCCGCATGTGTTCCCTCCATTTGCCTGACCCACAGCTCTGGAATGTGATAACGCCCTTTCAGTTCTGAGGCAAATCATTTTGATAGATAGATAGCAAGGTCTCTTTTAATTAGGGGCTTATCGGCATGTCAAATAGGAATTGATTAAAATGGGGGTGGGGGGGGGGGGTGAAAACCATTGGAAACCTGCACATCTGGGCACATTCTTGTGAGGGTGGTGGTTGGGGGGGGGGGGGGGGGGGACAGGGACACAGCTGTATGTCAGTACTGTACAGAGATGTCCGGTTCTGAAGGGCTTTTTTTTTTGCTGGACTTGGCATCAAATAATCCTTGATCCAAGGCAGCGCCTTTCCCACGGTCAGAAAAACTGGTCAAACTTCAAAACTACAGTCTGGGGGTGCTTCTTTTTTTAAAAAAAAATACCAATAACACTCCAATAACCCCTGGGCTATTCTGCACGACATTGTAAAGGCCATACAACTCGCCACGAATTACTGTGATTAACATGCAACCGGTCAGAGTGATAGAAGTGATATCAGGAAGCAGTAAAGTTAACAGTCACCGACCATTCAAACGTGTGGAAGATTACTTATTTATTAACGTGGTCTTTTTTTCCGAATAATAAAAGGCTAACAGCAGTTTAGTCAATGAACTCGCATGATTTATGGAAACGACTGTTGGCTTACAGGGGCGGGTGCAGGTGCAGTTCAAGTGGACACGATTTTATCGTCCAAAAATACCCCAACTATCATTTCACCTGATCGCTACATTTAAGGTTTATCGCACCACATTGACTGACATTCATCTCGACTTGTACCGCTGCATAAAAAAGGGATGGGGAGGTGGGGGGGGGGGGGGAGCTTTTGGGGTTAGTTATCTCCAAACAAGATTATGTGTTGAAAACTAACTTTTTAGTTAAGGAGAGAGAGAGAGAGAGAGAGAGAGGGAGAGAGAGAAAGAAAGGGCTGATTCGTGGCGTGAAACACTTTTTTTACATTTACCAAACGTCTGTGAAATTGCAAGAAAAAGAAAAGTATTGTCTGCAAACGTTAATCTGCGGTGTATATCAAATTAAACCAAATAAGCAAATTCGCGCTCGAATCCCCGAGCAGAAATGAGTGCTTACGAACCAGGGGAATTATAACAATCTCCAACAGATGTAGAAATCCATCGCTCCATTTTGAACCTCATACATTTTCTTGAATTCCTAGTGTTTCTATGACTAACTTGACGCATAACAGCCCCGTCTGTATTGGAGCAAATCCTCCCGCTTTTTCTTTTTCAGTGGCAAACCCTCACACCTGTTAGAAATAATCCTACACACACGCCCTGGTGGGGCACTTTTGCCTAAAATTAATAATTATTTGGCTGTGGACCGCTGGGGTTTCGAGAGCATAAATTTCATCTAAATAATCATTCAGCTGATTCATGTCAGTCTTGTTCCATTTCACGCACCGACCTTCAGCGATTCAAAGCAAAGTGGATTTCACAGATGTACAGTATAACGCATTTCTCTCTCTCTCTCTCAATCGATTCAGTTTCCTGCACTGTATCTGTTATACACAATAGTTACTTCAGTACATAATCGGGTGAGATAACGCCGCATTTTTCAAGACGTTTGACCGAAATTTTCAGTTAGTTTTCTTCCTGTTCTCAATTATTTCCACTTCTCTCCTTTATTGTTTGGTACTGGACACAGGGCCATGTAACCTGGCGCTGCTCGTTTCCACATAACGCATAACTGGTCCTTAAAACACAAACGAAGCAGGTCATTAAACTTCAGATATGACTGTTACTGTGTGACTACACGGAAACTGCCGGCAAAACTGTGCCCTTCACACCAAACGTGGCAAGAACCAGGTGTCCGAAGACTCGGTTATTATTTCTGTGCTAATTTCACGTGAAATGAATGCACATTGAAACGAACATTTAGACACCCGTTTGTACATTCTTTAGGCGTTTATTTTAAAAATTAATATGGAACTTTGTAACAAATGTGCTTTTTGTATTCCATCCCCACCCACCCCCATCCCCACCCCCCAACCACCCACACACGATTTTGCATTGTAAAGTGAAACATCCTTAAACCACATCGAACAAGGATTGATGCACAGAGAGAAAGAGTGATTTATTATAATGATATTCGCCTTGTTAAAAAATAGAACATGTAACCCGGGCTATGAAATCAAGCTGAACAGTTACTAAATCGGAATTCAATCTGGGAAACCCAATGATTATCACATCTCTTAACTTAGGGTGACAAAGTAAAATTAAATGCATTTTATTTATATTATTCCCCCTTCACCCCTTCCCCCCCAAAAAAAAACAATATTGGAATACAGGACTATATGTATGGTCGGAAATGTCAATTGTAAACACGTTTTTCTTCTCAAAACATTGTCCTTTTCTCTCTCCTGAATCTCGGATTCAGATTTTTGGGGTTAGGTTCAAACACGGCTTTAACCATTTACACTTCTGTCATGTAAGTGGGGTGTAAGAGTGACTCTCCCTGAGTGTGAGTATTTTTTGTTGGTGTGTGTGTGTGTGTGTGTGAATACACTCAGTCGGAATAACTCCCCCCCCCCCCCCCCCTCCAAAAAAAAATATATATTGTGTTTGAAATCAAATTGTGGATATGTTAAGGCTCCCTTTACACTTCAGAAGACAAGTCACAAACACCAGTCACTGCTCGGTGTGTGAGATCAGCCCAGGAATAAACACACAGGACATTTATTTCATGCACAGTCTCAGGCAATGAATGCTGTTATCCTCCCAACTCCTGTATCACAGACTCTGCTTTAAAAAGACTCAGGTCCACTCATGATTTACAGTCTACAACACACAGCCCGGCGATGGGGGGGAATGATAACACGATGCAATGATACAATGCGACCTTTATTGATACCATAGAGTTGTGACCCCTTCTCTCTCTCTCTGTCTCTCTCTCTGTCTCTCTCTCTCTGTCTCTCTGTCTGACCCCCTGTCTGTGACCCCCTGTCTGTGACCCCCTGTCTGTGACCCCCTTACCGTGGTTCCTGGCTGGGGGCTGGGTGTCCATGCAGTGGTTGAGGTAGGCGTTGTTGCTGAACATCCTCGCCTGGCTGGGAGGCGCCTGGGTCGGCGGGGGAGCCCCGAAGGCACCGTAGCGACAAGCCCCGGCCGTGCCCGTGAACTGGCCGGAGAAGTGGACGGTGAAGGCGCTCAGACAGTGGTCATCGTGCGGTTCGGCCACGGCGCCGGCGGCGGAGGCGCTCCAGGTGGGCTCCTGTTTGATGAAGGACGGGTGTCCCATCGGGGCGCTGTAGGCGGCTCCCGGGTGGAAGTCAAGCACCGGAGCCCACTGAGGGGCACTGCCCACCGGCATACTGCAGCTCCCGCTCCCCGGGCTCAGCGTGGACACCGCCGGCAGCAAAGCGTTCAGATCTCGCACGTCAGAACCCATTTGAATTTCCTCCTCCAACACCAACACCAACCGCTGTCCACCCACTAACCCGAGAGTTTATTTACTTACTCTCTCTCTCTCTCTCTGATCAGTCAGATTTCCCCTCTCCCCCTCCCTCCCTCCCTCCCTCCCTCCCTCTCTCTCTCTCCCTATCCCTCTCTCCCCCTCTCCCTCTCCCTCTCTCCCCCCTCTCCCTCTCCCTCCCTCTCTTCCTCTCCCTCTCCCCCTCCCTCTCCCTCCCTCTCTTCCTCTCCCTCTCCCTCCCTCCCTCCCTCTCTCTCCCTCTCCCTCCCTCTCTCCCTCTCCCTTTCTCCCTCTCTCCCTCTCTCCCTCTCCCTCTCTCCCTGCGCCCTTCCCTCCTTCAGGAAAAAACAAAAAAAGAGAAAAAAGTTAATTCCTAGAGCTGTCGAGTTGTTGAATCCCACGTTACAGCCCAAGTTGTCTGTCTCTCTGTCTGTCTCTCTGTCTGTCTGTCTGTCTCTATCTCTTCTCTGTTGGGTGGAAGTTCCAAGTTGCCCACAAGGTGCAGAAGTCTGAAGGAGGGTTTTCTGTTCGAGATTGTCAGTAAATGTGTCGGGAAAGCGGTGCTGGATGTCGGTCGGTGCAGAAAGAGCTGGAATCACTTTGCCACATGTGGCTGAATTGTATTGCATTGGGATTGGAGCCTTCAAACCTCAAATACAAGCCCCAGCTTCCAGGGGAGGAGTCTCACTCACTCCTTCACTCCTTCATTCACTCACTCACTCGCTCGCTCACTCCTTCACTCGCTCACTCACTCACTCACTCACTCGCTCACTCATTCACCCACTCAGCCTTTTTTTTTATTTGCCTCCTTTTGCTTTCATGAATCAACGCATTGCTGGTGCCTGTGGTTTAAATGGTTGACCAGTGGGCGAAAGAACACAAAACGGGGGTGGGTGAGTTTGGGTTGGGGGGTGCGGGTAATTCATCCCTCCTCTCCTCCTCTCCCCCTTTCCAAGACCAGAACGATACTGTCTGTCATTTAATACAAGAAAAAGCGTGTGTGTATGTGTGTGTGTGTGTGTGTGAGTGCTGTATTATCTCTCTCTCACCAAACATCCCCCTATATTGACTGAAGAGGTTGTTACTCTGCCAATAAGTGGAGTATCCTAAGGATCAGAGCAGTAAGTGCAAATGAAATATAGAATAATCAGCAGACTATATATTTAAGAGTTTGTATTTTTTTTATATACAGTATATGTAAATCGGGCGAGGTAGGGAGATAAATGATATCTCATGATCTTATTCCGCGAATAAAACAAGGCGTGTGTTTCTTTCTCTCTCTCTCTCTCTCTTAATATTAATATTAAAAAATACACATTTCTTGACTGTCGAGGACTCTGGAAATCCTATGGTAGTAAAAACTAACACGTCTCTCTCTCTCTCTCTCTCTAACGGTGCATCCATCCTCTCTGTCCCTGGTCCTTTTTCAGTGTGAAAGGATTATTATGCTTAAAATATATATATACAAATCTCAACAACTTTTCCCAGTGACAGGGTGAAGTGACAGGGTGATGGTGTTGGGGTGGGGGGGTGGAGGGGTGGAGGGAGAAATCGTTTAAAATAAAAAATCAAACGGGAAACTTTTCAAAGTCGATTCAATGTTTTGCAGATATCATTTGGACTTGTTGGCGAGAGAGAGAGAGAAAGAGAGGGAGGGGTGGGGGGTGTGGGGGGGTGTTGTGACTTGAATAGGGATCAGGTAGACACACGTACCACATTATATGCCCTTATTCACGCTGCAATCTTACTCCAGCCAGGCGAATACGAAGCAGGTTTATTAACTTGCGAGTTTTCTATCATTTGCGAATGAGCTGTTTTTTTAAAATATATATTATATTATATTATACATACATACATACATACATACAGGGTGACCAAAAAGTAGTGATACCATTACAATGTCTAATAAGTCTGAACGAAAGGATTTTTTTTCAGATAATAGGGCGGTTGTCACGACTTTTTGGTTCAGCCTGTGCACCTACAGACAGATAGATAGATATTTTACACATACAAAAAAAAAACTATTTAAAAAATAACACGGACAGGAGTGAAGCATCAGTTTACAAGTGACAGCTCACAATCCATTAAATAAGCAGGCGGCACATAAACAGCCATTTAAACGTTAATGAACTTTCCCCTTTCAGACAATTACTTTTTGCTTGACATGTTTTCCTTTTAATTTTCACACGGTCCAGGAATCTGATGGTCAGTTAAACAGGAGCCTCGTTAAAACGGTCCAGTGAGAGATTTAGTTTATATATATTATATATATATATTCAGTGTATAATAATGCTCAAACGAAACTGCAAAGGCCTTGTAACGTATCACTGTTGCACGAAAAAACACACAAAAAAGACACAAATGAGCCCATCCCGTAACACGTTAACAGTTGTTCTACGAGTCTGTCTGCGTTTTTTCTTTGGTATTTATCTACAAATAAATGCACTGAAAGTGAAAATAATTGATTGATTGCGGGGTTTTTTTCCATCAAATTAACAACTAAGGGATTTACGAGAGGGCTGTCGGTCATGTGCTGCCGAGTCTGTGCAAACTGAGGTGTTCTATCAACATTGCGGGGTTCCGGGACCAGATGTACCCCGAGTTCTCCGTTGACGCCGTTTACTTGTCGAGTTCTTTCGCAGTTTGTCGAACTCCGATCGCGTTGATATGGCATTACATATTTTTTCCTCCTTATTTCAAAGCAGTTACACCATTTCCTTGTCACTTCAGAAACAGTAATTCGGGGAATCACACACACACACACACACACACACACACACACACGAGGATGAAGATGGACAGAGAGAGGGGGGAAAGCATTTGTAAACTGTTACACGTTACATGTTTGGAAGGGCAGAGCGCTTTGCCTCCTGAACCTGTGATGTTTTACTTTGCTGTGGCTTCATTTCGCCGTACAAACACACTGTCTGTATCCTGGGCTCAGGTCAGAGTCAGGGCTGGAGGCCGGAACACACATCGTGTGTGTGTGTAAAAAAAAGACGGTGAGGTTATTCCAGAGTTTTTTCTTGTCATTAACACAATGCTCTACAATCGTGTTGCTGTGTTGTGTGTGTGTGTGTGTGAGAGAGAGAGAGAGAGAGAGAGAGAAACTAATTCACTCTCTGTAGGGTTTCACTTCCCTTAAAACTGTGGCAAAGCAACACGGTGAGGAAATGAAGATTCCTTGCCTTTATGTTGTTTGATAACGATAAGTGATGATTATTTTTGTGCTGGAAGATTAATGAGGTAAAAAAAAAGGTGACCTTTTTTTACTGATCATTATCTACTGGTTTGTGATCACTCAGTTTAACTTATTCACTGCCAGCCCAGAGAGCAACTCAATGTTATTATTTTAACAGGCAGACAAGTACAGTTTGGGTTTCTTCAACAATATGATCCACTGTTAGTGATGGCGAATGTGTGTGTGTGTGTGTATATATGTGTGTGTGTGTGTGTTTTTTTTGGGGGGAGACATTAGATGTTAAGATTACACATTGAAAGAGACCGAAGAAACGACAGGGAGAAGAAAGACATTGAATGAGAGAATTATATTGTTTCCCAGCGGTTAGCGACTGGATAGCGAGGGTTTGAGCTGATTTGGTTAAACCAAAAACAGACATTTAAACCTTCCCAAATTAATTTGGAGTTTCATAGCAACGGACATGGGTAGCAAAGGCTTCGAAACAGCGTATAATATAAATTGATTATAAAGTGGCTTCATCAATCGTCCTATTTATTCTGCCAAATGAAACTGGAAATCGTGTTTATACAAATATATGTTGATATATGTATTATACATATGAGGTGTAATTGAGGTGATGGGGGGAACCGAATTCAAATTTTCAGGAAGTGAAGGCCGTGTTTAAACCGTGGACAACAATAAAACTGGAGATTGATTGATCGATCGTTTTTATACGCTTCGTTATTGCAGATGTAAATTATGCCGAACAGCAAATTCACACAACACATTGCGAGTTCTACTTTTTTTAGACAGGGATAAAAAGCTGTGACGTGTTTCTCATTCCTCTTCGCAGAGAAAGTTTTCGAAGTTAATGCTTTTTTTTCATCCCTTGTGACATTAATGGATGAAATGGCTCCTAACTGCACTTATAGACTTAAATCACCCCTCACCTCGAGAAATTCCACCAGGGTCTAGGTTTACTCTAACTGTGTGGAATTTTGGAGCGCCCATAACTTGACCAATTATTAAGTATAGCTTTCATTTTTGAAGTCGTTTTTCGTAAGGTCTCCAAAAAAGAGACTTCAGGGTTAATTGAAATCAACAGTCTGCCGAATCCCTATCACTCCCTAAAATGCTACCTAAACAGGTTACATCTAAACCCAGGTGAAATTTCTCCCAGATTATTTGATGGTGATTCATTCATACATGGCCATGACAAGTATTTTTTTTTTTAAAAAAATGTTTGGAAAGCTTCACCATCAGCGACTTGTGTTCAACGTCCCCTCAGTTCCACTCAGTGAAGTCACTTAGAAACTCACTCCCAATGTTCTATCGCTGTAACATTGAACACATTGGCCCGAAGTATTATTGTATGCCTTTGGACTATTTTAAGACCTCAGTTACCTGGACCACATATTTTTGTTGATCAAGAGAAGAGGCAGAACGTTAATCACGAGTAAGTGTCGAGCAACCCACCCCCTGTGTGTGGGGGCTGTTTTGTCCACTGGAACTCCACGTTCTGTCCTGTAATACCTTATTTATCCCAAACAAAGGAAACTGTGCCCAATCCCTCCTTCACTTGGGGTGTCATCTTTAACCTTCCTTTCCCCGCCAGTTTGGGACGTTTCTGGAAATAATCAAACGGCATAACTTCATAAAAAAATCTAAAATCGTTTTAGAGCACCAAGTGCATGTTTGTTTTATTCCTGACAAGTCTCAAACGTGTACAACTTGCTTCGGAGTTAACTGAGGAGTTGAAAGGTTTCTGTACATAGCAGTGTGTTTTGCTGCCAGTTTAGGTCGATTTTTGGATATTAAAAATTGACGTTCTACGAAGGGACGCAATATTTTGGTTGTTAAACGATTGCCATTTTACGCAGTTTATCTCTGTTAATTCGGTATCCCATCCTC